TAAACACAAAGAAAACATTAAATTATGTTGAGTTGATGTTATAGAATAACCTATCCTATTTCCATTTCTTTATGAAATTATATTTTAGTATCTTACAATTTTGAACAGGCAGTGTTGGGAATAATAAATGGCTTTTTTTTTCCCGTTAAACGCAGGTGCTTTTACTTTGAGTAATAAATAGGAAACCTAGTTAAAGCCGGCAGTGCCTTTGAAAGAAAGCCTTAAATCATTCTATGTTTAGCTGCGTTTCTAATATAGTTTTTTCATTTGACATTTTTAGGTCAACATCATCCCAATTATTGCAAAGTCAGATGCCATCTCTAAGAGCGAACTGGCCAAGTTCAAAATCAAAATCACTAGTGAGCTGGTCAGCAACGGAGTCCAGATCTACCAGTTTCCCACTGATGATGAATCTGTGGCCGAAATCAACTCCACCATGAATGTAAGGCCACATTTCTATCAGCTGTGTGTAATGTTTGCATTTATTACCAATACACTGCTTCAATTGTAGCAGTGAAAAGGTTCACACAGATTTTTAAATTTATTATTTTATTTTATCAATATAAAAACGGGTCATTTGAGCCAGAACTGTTAGCCTTGCTCATGTGGTCTGGGGGCCTCTTGATGTAGAAAGGTTTTTTTTGTTGTTGTTGTTTTTCAAAGCTTCAGTCATTTCACACTACAGGAAGTCAGCTGTGTGGAAACAAGCTTTGTGTCCACAGTCAGTTGTTTATTAACTTTAAACTGTAGAAGTGCTTCAAACTCTCTTTCGCTGACTGTTAGCTCGTTTCTTGTTGCTCAGATTCGACAAGTTCTCATAATAATAATAATAATATATATATATATATATATATATATATATATATATATATATATATAATATATATATATTTCTTTTTTAATGTCTATCATGCTACATGTATAATTGCAGAAATTGGTAAAAGTCTGCAGATTCAGTTGCAGGTGTGACAGTAGGCTTACAGCACCCTCACCTCTGCTTCACAGAGCCATTTGCCTTTTGCTGTGGTGGGGAGCACTGAGGAAGTGAAGATTGGGAATAAGATGGTGAAGGCCCGGCAGTACCCCTGGGGAACCGTGCAGGGTAAGCCTGCGCTACATCCTGCACAGGAAATAAAAGCATGTGCTTCCTTGGCAGGGCTGCTTTCTTCACGCTTTTCTTCAGCTCTTTGTAACTGATAACTTGTTATATAACCTCATCCAGCTCCAGCATCCTCTCAGTCTCTACCATTAAACTGTGTACCAGAGCAACAGTAGCTCTGCGCTTAAAAATGTATCTCACTAATGGTGTTTCTATTGATCCGGTTATCGATTTTTCTCAACAAGTCGATAATGGAAGGTGTTTAATATCTTCCAAATGGACTACAGTATCAGTATTTTTTACTTCACAAGGATTACTGGAGATATGTAAAATGCAGAAGTTACAGTTTGACACTTTCAACCCTGTATGTTCATAAAACAGTAGATTAACAGTATAAAGTCTACACACCATTGTTAAAACTGCGGGCATTTCCCCCTTTTTGTTTGTTTGTCCCAGCAGAAAGAATGTAAGAAAATCAACATAATGTTTTCTTAGTCAAAAAGTGAGACAAACTAAAATATGTTGATAAAAGAATAATAGGAAAGAAGTAAAAAAATAAATAAATAAATCTACAAAAAATTCTTGTAAATGTTTGGACAGCCTCTTGTAATTTAATAGTGTCACTCGACGCCCTGGTGGGATGTGAATAAAATCCCCCAAAACACTCCAGTGTGGCATCATTCAGATTTTATTTTTTATTTTAAAAACGCAACATCATCATCCACTTTTTTGTAAGAGCACAAGTCTGTGTTCTTGACACATCGTCATCCATCCATCATCTTTAGCCGCTTCTTTCTTTTTGGGTTACGGGGGTCACTGGTGTCCATATCCAGCAGTCACAGTGCGAGAGGTGGGGGACACCCATGACAGGTCTCCAGTCCAGCACAGGACACAGAGACAAACAATCATTCACTCACACCTAGGGACAATTACCAATCAGCGTAACATGCATGTTTTTGGTTTGTGGGAGGAAACTGGAGTACCTGGAGAAAACCCACACATGCACAGAGAGAACATGCAAACTCCACCCAGAAAGGCCCCCAGCTGGGATTCAATCCAGCAACCTTTTCACTGAGAAGCAACATCTCTACAAACTGCACCACCATGCCACCCCCTGACACATCTTAACTTAGAAAAATTGTCTTTCTTGCATTTTTTTTTTTTTAAATCGGAGCACAAAGTTTATTAATGCTTTTGTCAGACAATGAAGAGGCTTTCAGAGTACAGGGCTGAACCAGCACTACTAAACAGGAAGTCTCGCTGATCTTTAAATATAATTGGGAACCTCTTTGTCCATTCTTTTTCTATATACGTTTTTTCCTTAAAGGAATGTCTTGCTCTGCATGGTGTTTTGTTCAGGATCCAATCAAATAGAGAACCCTCATGTCTGCTGCTCTGCTTTGTGCTAAATGTGATTGAAGACATTTTATTTTACTCTTTAAATTTGCACAAACATTCAAAGTCTTGGCATTGGAATTGCAATACAATGAGTTTATTATATACAGTACGATGCTGACTGATGTTATCAGTAAAACAATCGTCTCATTTTCATCAGTATTTTATTTTATTTTTCTGCAGTGGAAAATGAGAATCACTGTGACTTTGTCAAACTCCGGGAAATGCTGATTAGAGTGAATATGGAGGACCTGCGAGAACAGACTCATACACGCCACTATGAGCTCTACCGTCGCTGCAAGCTGGAAGAAATGGGCTTTAAAGATACAGACCCTGACAGCAAACCCTTCAGGTAGAACACTCAAAATGGTTTTGTGTGCCCATGATCTGTTTTTCTCTTTTGTTTTGCTGTATCCCAGTATTGTTTTTAATTTCTCTGTTTTCCTTTTCTCAATCCAGTCTGCAAGAGACATATGAGGCAAAGCGGAATGAGTTCATGGGCGAACTGCAGAAGAAGGAAGAAGAAATGAGGCAAATGTTCGTCCAGCGGGTCAAAGAGAAGGAGGCGGAGCTCAAAGAAGCAGAGAAGGATGTAAATATCATGCACTTTGTTAAATGCCTGTTTCCGCTTCTTTCTCAATCAACACTAAACTTCTGTTTCTTTGCGGCGTAGCTGCACGAGAAGTTTGACCGTTTGAAGAAGCTCCACCAGGACGAGAAAAAGAAACTGGAAGAGAAGAAGAAGTCCATAGATGATGAAGTCAACACGTTCAAACAGAAAAAGACTGCGGCAGAGCTTTTGCTGAGCCAAGCCCAACAGGCTGGGGGCTCCACCACGCTGAAGAGGGACAAAGAGAGGAAAAAGTAAGTATCACACTCTCAGAGTCTGACTCTTCACCTACAGACAACTAATGTAGGAAATTAGGTTTCTGTGTTCTCTGTTAGACTTGCACCACTTTTTATTTTTGATTGAGGGCTGAAAACGTCATCGTTTCAGCCCTGAGTTATAAAAGAGGTTTTAGCAAACACTAAACTCAACATAAAATAGTTTTGGTCTAAAATTAAAAACTGTGTTAAAACATACTAAAAGCAGACTGGTGGAGTGAGCTGTAGTTGGGACGTAGCCAATTGTTAGCAGAGTGAATTCTTGTCGAAAATGCTCATGCTGTCATCAAATATTGCTGTTCGCTCAGCACCACGTTGGAAACTTGAACACAACTTTACTGCACGTTTTTCATAAACCTAAAAATGTTACTACTTCAGCTTTATCAGAAATCTGCTGCTTCCTTTAGCAGTTATTTATCAGCCTTTAGGATATATTGTCTCACATGTTCACTTCTTTTATTTATATATCAAGTAGTTTTCATCAATAATTTAATCACGAGGTAAATGAAAACATTTTTAGTAACTCGTTTTAAAGCAACATGAGCAGCCAGATGTGTTTTTAACCACGTCAACATCACTGGTCATAAACTCCTGTGGTATAAACCAGATGTGCCTGTTTAAAACAGAAAGCAGACACGTGCACCGAGAGGATTTTTCATTAGCTTTATCATTTTCTTGTACTTTTATTTCCTTCACAACCACTTTTCCCTCTTTGTAAACGTTGCCTTTAATATTTTTTTTTCCCAAATGATGCAGCTGTGTGCAAGTTGAGTCAACAGATGTGAAGCGTTTCTCTTGCCGTGCTAACCAATGCTAACTGTGTTTGTTTGTTTTTAACCTTCAGGAGAATGTTGGGTTTTATTACTCCCTAGGAGACACGGCTAATAGTTTCTGCTTGTTATGTGGATTAAATGTCTTCTGAGCGCATGTGTCACCTTTGTTGCATCCGTAATGTTTTCCAGTTAACTCCTCCCACACTTGCTGCATGCTGCATGAGGCACCTTTTTCTGGTAAGACTCCCTTCTTGAGTTACAGCACAAATAATAAGAAAAATGAACAACATAAGCAAACTTTAATGTCAAAACTCTATGTTTCAGCTAAATATTTTTAGATGATGACCACTTGTAAATATTTGCGTTCATGCGCAAGACATTTAATTTGTCAGCCTGCAAAATAATTATTCAAATAGTTGGCAGTCTTGTGGCAGCATCTTTTCCCACCATATCTGTGGACTGGCAGTATTTATTGTTGCCCTGCCAGCTTCTAAACCAAGCAGTTTATTAGATCCCTACACACCCATTTGATGCACTGTTCTATCTGCCTCCCTAAAACACACAACAGCTTCTTTTTGTGGCTCCCACCCGTCCCAACAGTCGCACAAAGAACCATTCAAGGCCGAGCTGAGATCAGCAGGTCACACCAGAGCAGCAAACAGCCTCTGGGCGCATCTTTGTTTTTCAGAGATGCCATGTTTTGTTGACATATGATGACCCACCCTTTTGCTCTTGGGTGGATACAAAATAACAAATTGTGTTTGAGTCTTGGCCACTGGGAGGAGTAGAAGTGAATTAAACTATCAGTCTGGCAGTCTGTAAACACATAAAATAAGACCAAAAGAAGTAGCCAGCTGTACTTGCACCCTCACTATAAAACTACTTTTAAGCATGTTTTCTTCTAGATGCTGTCTAAGGTGCTAATGCTGATGTACAGCTGTGTGTTGTAACGTATCAGAACCCACTAACAGCCCTTCTCTTTTATTTCCAGCTGAGGATTCCTGTAGAAAAAAGTCCTTCCTTGTGGCAATCCTGCTGTGAATGAGCTCCCACCCTCATCATCTTTTACAGTCCCCCCCCCCTCCCTCCCTCACCTTCACATGCACTCAAATCCCATAATTCTACCCTACACATATCTGCCCCCCCACCCCTTGCTTTATGGAAGATGCTGGGCATTGCTATAAATCTGACGTCACAGGTTGTTTTCTGAGTGATGCTTGTTGGTTTTTGTGTCGTTCGAGCGATCGTTCAGGTTGATTCCTTTTTTTTTAATGCAAATTTACAAAATACATTCCATATTTATGTGATCAGCATTTCTTTGCATGATGTGAGCTTTTATAAAAAAACACATGACTACAGTTGTAATGGGCAGAAATGTGCTGAGGCTAAAGAGAAACGTGCATCTAATAATGAGACCTGAAAGTGGGGATGAGTACTTCAAATCTGCTAAAAATGTATTTTGTGCTTTGATTCTCAGTTTCCATTATTTATCCCTCCAGACTTGCGGCTTGTTATGCTGCCATAGACTTAGACTACTGGAGGACAAACTGACCTCATTTCCTTAAATGAATTGTTACAATTGAATAGTTTTCATTTGATGCTATTTCTATGTCAACATGTGATTCTCGGCCTGCCATTGTGTATCTGTTCCTCCTTCCTGTTCCTCTCAAACCCAGCCGGTCGAAGCAGATGGCCGCTTGTCCTGAGCCTGGTTCTGCTAAAGGTTTCTTCCTCGAGGGAGTTTTTCCTTTCCACTGTCGCCTTTGTGTTTGCTCAAGATGAGAGTCTGCGATGAAGTTAGACTCAAAGCAGTCTGCTCCTCAGATAATGTTAACTTACTTTTTATATATATGAATGTTTCTGTTCAGTGCCCTGAGGCGACTTCTGTTGTGACTTGGCGCTATATAAATAAACTGAATTGAATAAATTTTAATCTTTGTCCCAAAATGGAAGTAGGTATGTAAAATGTCTCTTTGCTGATGTAGTTTCACTTTAGCCTGATGCATGAGTAGATATGAGCCTAATCTTTTTGCCACTTCTCCCATACCTCATTCATTGTCATGTTTGATGTGCATACTTATATTAGCTTTTATACTTGCACTTTGTTTTATACCCAAATGTGATGTTTTTGTTACGTATATATCAGTGTCAGTGCAATTGTAACGTTCTTTTTGTATTTTTTTTTTTTTACAAGGGCACATTAAAAGTCAAATAGTCCTGATGTCCATTGTCCTGACAGTGGCAGTCATTTTTTGTATCGGTGTTAAGAAGAACATTTTCTGAAGAAAAAATAAAGGCCTTTTTTTTCACCAAATGATAAAATTGTGGCAGTAATCATTGTGCATGACTAAAAGTGTTGGAAACATGTGGAAATGGTTGGATTTTGTGACGAATTTCACACGATTCCTGATGAATTGCAGTGTTTGTCTTGTAAAATTTGCCCTGGATTGAAATCTTGAGTCCACAGTTGTGGTCAAATTAAGGCAGCAGAAGAGACGTGACCTCCTTCCAATCTTCAGCTCACTGGTCTTGTGTGGTTTCACTTTCCTCCGCAGTAATCCGTGGCTCTGCACTGAGTAGGTCTTCGGCCCCCCAGCTCTGATAAGGGATCGGCCTCTGCGGGGTCTGTGCGCCTCAAATGTGACCCGAGGCTTTGTGGACCCCGTCCTTCAGGGTTTTTGTTCATTACCTGTTCTTTAATAATATGAGGTGTTCTGTGTGCTTCACTGCTGCTTTTAACCTCATCACAAGCAATCAAATTTTCCACCTGTTGCTTTTGCCTGCTGGATGTTGGCTGTGACTAACGTTTTCCACTTCAATCAGCAGAAACATGTTAATTCATTCTCAGTTATATAAACTTAATCAGTCTTTTTGCCACAAATTTAACTTGATTATTAAAATATATCAAGTAGGCATGGTGTATTTTCATCTATATTTTGTGACCTTACACTTTAGTTTTGTCTATGTATGATGATCAAACCTTAAACTTTTCACTTCCTTTGATTCACCTAAATCTTTGAGTGTCCACTTTTCTAACTCCTGCTTTTGTTTCTCTTTGTCTCTTTAGCTTCTTTTAATCTGTCTTGACCACCTGAAGAGGGATTGCAGCGTCAGCAAGAACTAAGAACCCTTTACCTCTTCTGTTTTTCTCGTATCAACCTTTTATCCTCCTCATTGCATCTCCGTTTGTTAAGTATGGCCTTATGTGGACTTGCATGGTATTTCCGACCACCCAATGAAGCTCCTAAACCTGGGCAGGTGGGGAACCAGGTACAAAATCTGCTATTATGTCTTAATGTACAGAGAGTTTTCAGGAGGGGTTCATGTAATTTCAGGAGTCACGGGTAAAATGCTTATTATTTTTATCTTTTCATGAACTTGACCTGCACTATATATTTATGCACTCATAATTTAAAATAATTAGATGCATTATTTAAAAAAAACAAATGAGGGGAAAATTGTTTGCTTTTGCAGACGAACTAAACAAATTGACTGAATACTTGATGGATATTTTTTCTTTATCCAAGTCTAATTTTAATATAAAATCTGTTTTTTAAGAACATTTTGTGCACTTCTAAGTAAAACCATAGAAAAGCCAAAGCATTTGGTTCCCATGTTTACATGCCACAATACCATGAAGGTCACATGTCGGGGGGGCTTTTATTACACGTGCTTTAATATTCACCAGCCTGTTTTATGCTTTGCATGCTTTTTTTTAATTTAATTTAAATACTGCTGTGATCTATTACCTTCTGGTTTTTACTCCTTGAACAACTCAGCGTTGCTTTCATTGCTATTTTCTTATAAAATGGTGCATTTATTTATTGTAAAACTTGCTCTGTCTTATGATTTAAGCTCCAACTTTGCCAAATGTTAGTATGAGATACTGTTGAACAGAAGCCCAGATAAGAGTATTAAAATACTCTTGCATTTATATAATTTATAAGGATATATTTTGTGTATTGAAGTGGAGAGTTGTTTATTCCCTATGATGTTTGGATGTGATTCTGAGTGTAAAGTGATGGTGTCGAGATTTGCCGTACATTTTTCTAGCATCAGTCATCACCTCTTGTAGTCAAAACCTTTTTCAACACTACAAATAATTCAGTATTCTTTAGTTTCATCGATGTACATTTTGAATAAAAAATAACTCCAATTTATTAAGCTTTTGTGACTTTTTGCTGTATTTGTTGTTTTTTTCCTTTTTCCACCAGCATCTTTCACCTGTGATCAAATCTTTTTGTCTTGGAAATTACTTTTTGTGTATCGATTCAAATGTAGTTTATGGAAGCTGAAACTTGTTAAATTACATTAAACTCTTAAAAACACGCATCAGGAAGGAATCTAAGCAGAATCAACTTCCTTTGGTGCGATGAGAGCATTAACATAATTTCTGCCTCTACATAAACAAAACGATGACTTTCCAAAGACTTGGATCTCTGGTTGGATCAGCGTATAATCAGATGTTGAGTCTGCAGAAGAACTGTGACAAAGTTAAACCTACCATCTTTGTAAATGGTTTACAGGTTTTTATGAGAACTAAGAGCTGATGATGTTTTAATACAGGCGTAAAACAACTTTATAATTTTTGGAGTATTGTGTCTTGTGGCATTATTTCCAAAAATAAAAATTCATTATAATAAAAATGTTGCCCAGTGTTTGGTGTTTGTGTGCACACTGATAACATTATAAACACATAAACTGAATAACAATGCTCGTTTTTAAAGCAATGTTCTGCTTGATGTGTTGTATTTATTTTGACACTTAAGCACTTCTCAGGGCAAAAAAAAAAAAAAATCTAATGTATGTGAATTCAAACATTCACATACATTATAAAATGCCAATATGTAAATGTTGTTTAAGAAAGCCAGCGGATTACATCGAATCTTCACTCAGTCACAATCTCCCATCCTGAGCAGCACATTGGGCGACAGTGGAAAGAAACAGTTCCTTTTTAACAGGAAGAAACTTCCCGCAGAATCAGGCTCAGAATTGGTGGCATCTGTCTTGACTATTTGGGGTTGGAGAGGAAGACACAGACAAACAGAGTGACTGGTCCAGGCATACTTTCTATAAAACACAAGTTAATGAGAGAATAATTACATAATTATAATAATAACATAACTAATAATTACAAACAGAAAAATGAAGAGTAGAATGAGATGGCAGCAGAGTGTACTTGTTGTGGCTGGTGTGTTTATAAGGAAAATGCTCGGTGTACTATTTACCAAGAAATAATTAAATATGCCAAGTGAAAGAAAGAAAGTTCCTCTGATATTTTGTGTGAAACATCTAAGTAAAAATGAAAAAGTAAAGGGTAAAATACCTAATATTTTTGAATTAATTTGTAAAATTACACATCTTTAATTATATTTAGACTACAACTACTAATTAAAATAATTTCAGTTGTAAAAACATATTTGTATTAAGTCTAATGTACTTTAATGTTTATGATTTATTGACATGATTTGTGACTATGCAATGTAATGCACATGCTTTCAAATTTTTATCTTGGGTAGTAATTGTATTTTTATTAACTTGTCTTTTTATAAATCAAATGACAGGCACCACCCACAATAAGTTAATTATTAAAGGGTTAAACCAATGCAAGTACATTTTTAAAATTATATTTTAAAGAAGACTAGCAAAAATGTTATTAGTCAAACTCTGGCAGTGCATTTTAAGATTTTTTTTTTAATCTGAATTCCAGTTATATTTGAAATCTTTGAAATATATTGAAACATAATAGACCTGTATGAAATGTTAATGGAAGTGCCCACTAATGCATACTAATCCTAATCCTAAAATATATACCCTACTTGTATTTTTAATTTTTTTTTTGTATTTTACATTTTTATTCTTTTAATTAGTTTTGCTTTTGATGTTCCCATATCTAAATCTGCCTCTGCTATGCCCTTTTTTTTTGGATTTATATACTTAGAATTGATATACTTTATTTAGAATAGTTATTTATTTAATATTTATTTAATATTTATTTATTTAGAATATATATACTTGATTGTACTTTTTGATAAGCAAAGTTTTCTTAAAAAATATAAAAAAAATAAAAAACTCTGGCAGCGCAAAGGATTGTGGGTCGGTAGCAGCATACCGTACGCGCCATGATTTCCCTGAAGCCGAGACCAGAAAATGGATGCTTCCAAGTGACTAAATATGTTTTTGTAGATGGCATTTGGGTTTACGCAACGGTTTACCCGTCTTCAGGAGTCCCATTTAAAAATTACAACCTAGCATGTCGGCTTCTTTATAGACCGTGATGAGTCCGGAAACTTTATAAAACAGCCGTTGTCGAAGCGGAGCTAGGTTAGCTTAGTGGCTTACGCTAGTAGCAGCCTTGTGGGTTGTAGCTAGCTAGCAGACGCTAGCAGGATAATAGCCGGTGGATTGTAAACGGTATTAAACCATATCCCGATCGTTTGAATGACAGAAGTAAAAGGACTAAAGGCTATACCTTAAGGTAATAATACAATATAATAAACTCATCAGACGTGTTGTAAAATGTAAACTTCCAAGTTGCTAAACGTGTTTACATGTCAGAAACGAACCGACTGCGTCACTCTGCCAGGCTCAATTTAGGCTGTTGTTTCTGCTTTATAACACAACCTTTGTTAAAGTTATCATTAATATCACGTTTTCGGCTAAAAAGTATTTCAACCTGCCTGTTCTTGTTCTGATGTGACTGTATTGTACAGCATGGACATTCTCTTGAAATCCTACCTTTTTTTTTTCTTTAATACTATCCCATATTTTATGTCCAATTACAGGGATGGCCTGGATTTGATGTGATCGGTGCTGGTGATGGCAGAAGGGACTGACGCTTACGAAATGCCCTCTTTTGACCTAAGTCCTGGTTCAGAAGCAAAAAAGAGACCTACTACATCTTCTGATGGCCGTGAGTGGTCTTGTGGTGTTATGTTTGTAGACTGAATTTTCAGTTCTTTACAATTATATATTTCTTATAGCTATTTATAATTTCATTTACATATGAAGTAGGGCTGGGCGATATCTCAATATTTTTAAAATACCACTATAATTTCATATGCGATATAAAATGAGACTATCAATTGATAGTGTCATACTCTACATTGTTATAGCTGTACTTAGTCTCATACTCTATGTAGTTATAATTATACTTGAAAATCTGTCAGTTTTTCTCCCAGCATGCACCTTCTCATGGCCCCTTCTCCTCTCCCTCACTGAATACAAACCCAGCCCCTCACCTGCTCCCCCCACCTCCTGCTGTGTAAAACTAGTGCTGCTGCAGCTCTAAGCTAGGTGCATATGCAGATATTAATCGTCACAATAGGTCTTTGCTGACGCAGTGGCGACACTGGTGACATGGATGTAAATTCCTGATAGGTGTGAAAATGACTGGGTAACTGGCTGCTACAAAGGAGAGTTTGGTGGCCTCCAGGAAATTAACTGAGCGGCAAGGTATGAAGTTCTCTTCTCATTAAAAAACATGTACAGATATCCAGCTTAGGGTGATCTATTTGCTGTGTTTCTTTTGGCATTTACACACAAATACCTTCTTTTTTTCTTGTTTCTTCTGGTATTTATGCAAACAGAAGCTCAAACAGCTCCGTCGGTGTCAGGAGAGAAAAATCTCCCAACGCACAGCATGCAGCACTTTACACAGAGCGGTACGTTCAGTAGCGTCGGAACAGCCACGGTGCATTCAAGAGCATACGAACCATGAAATTCAGAAAGAAACGAGCCATAACCTAACAGAACCTAGCTCAGTAAACGAGCCAACTACACAAACAATGTGGGCTTTCTAACAGCTTTGTTAATAAAGGTTGAACGAATATACTTTTTTTTTTAAGAGCAAGCCAACCTTTCATTATGTTTACTCTGTAGGTTTTCTGATTAAATTTTAAGTGCACAGCTGTGTTTTTGGTTTTGTTATGCAGGAAAAAAAATGTTACGGTATTTCTGAGTCAAAGCTTAGACCCAACTGTCACCTTTATTAACAAACAGCTGTAACGTTTTTGTTATTACTTTATGGAAAATAAAAAGAGATATACATCTTATATCGCCATTCATCTTAAAAATATCGAGATATAAATTTTGGTCCATATCGCCCAGCCCTAATATGAAGTTTACTAAACAACTGAGAACTTATGTGCTGGTAGCTACTGTACATTATTATGTGAAACTCCTGAGCTGCTTTTCATTTTTGTTTTATACTTTGCATAAAGGAGACAGACTTTTCTTAAAGTTTAACAGGTATTTCAATAGTTTAACACTCATTCTAAAAAAGAAAATGCGTGGAAGCTTTTAACTAAAAACTGGATAATTTTTTCAGTTAAATTCCTGGAGGCATCTCTCAAGTCTATATTGTTTTTTTCTTATTTATGAAGGACACACATTTTGATTATGCTATTTTGCCATCAAAATTTTGCAGTCATGTTCATGTGCAAAGTCTGGACTGAAAACTAGTAAAAAATAAATAAAGATTTAAACATAGCAGGAAACCACTGCCACCTGAAAAAGATTACAGCAAAAAAAATATATATAAAGAATAAAAATTTCGGATGGCTCAAGATTTTTGCACAGTCGTGTATATTAGTCCCTTAAGTGGAGCAGAAGTTGAGTTTGTTGTAACAATTTGTAGAAAAAAACAAAAAGCTGTCCTGAAATATATCCCGTTGAGTCTTACTCTCATCATGAAACCAATTTCTAATCCTACAGAGAATATTTATTTTTATATTTTCAAACATTTGATTTGTGTATACTTTTTGAAACTTTTCTAATAATATTAAGAAAGGCCTTTTCAAATTTTTTGTAATCTTGTTAACGGAACATTTTAAGCAGGCAGTGTTGTCCTGATACAATCATGATTCACTCACAGCTACTGATTACAAGAAGATTGTTTGTTTTTCTAACACAAAGTACTCTTATTGCAGGAGACGAGCCGATGAGGAAAATGCCTGTCACAAAATTTAGTTCCAAACCTCGATTTGAACCTGTGCACTTTGTCACCAGTGGAAGCAGTGGAGGAACTGGCACTGATGAGAAGGAGAACGATAAGGAACGCAGGAGGAGTGAGTCGTATGGAACAAGACAATGGGACTCTCAGCACTCCTCCTCTTACAGCAGCAGAGGAGCACAGGGCTTCTCTTCCCTCAGGCCGGCTTTTGACAGAGCCTCGTCATACTCAAATGACTTTTCGGGTTCCCATAGAGACGGAGATATTTCTTCAGGTAGTACTAGTGGACTAGGCTATGGAAGTCATGGGTTATCTTTAAATTTCATGGCAAAAACACAGCAGAACTACACAGCCAAGTATGACGCCCACACTTTTTCACACAGTTTAGATTCTTATACCAAGCCCCAGAGATACAATGGATATGAGGGAGGGGGCAGAACTAGAGGCTGGGATTCAGGACGTCAGGGTTTGGGCTATGGTCATCAGGACAGGCCGTCACTGAGTGGACCTTTTAGTAGAGTCTACAATAGCTCAGGCAGGAGCAGCCCTCATATATCTCAGTCTGGATCTTTGCAGCCTCTTTTAATGTCTCATCCTACTTTAGCTGAAAAGCAAAGGCTGATTGTAAATGTTGGTAATGCACTGGCTTCTGCCTTCAGGGACCCTGTTTTAATAACTGGGAGCGACTCTCCAAACTATAATTTTATGTTGAGCCGAAGCATCCAGGCCTGCAAAACCAACCCCGAGTACATTTATGTCAACCTGAAGGATATTCCTCCGGCCGACCTTCCAAAGAACAGGAAAGTACCAACAGATGGTTATGCCTGTGAACTGAGATGTCAGGGTGTGTATCTTGCTACTGGATACTCTGGCAGTAAAAATGGTGCGAGGGACCGGGCTTCTGAGCAGGCAGTAAAACTTTTCCTAAAACCAGTTGAGGTTCGTGTTGCGCAGCGTAAATACAGACACTCGATGGTCAATGACATAGTTGTGTGTCAGATGCACAGCCCGACTCCAGCGTTTCTACCTGCACTCCGGAACCCAGAAGATAAACCGATGCCCAGCCCCAAGGGTCAGCACGAGCCTGACAGACATAAACACTGGACAGAGTTTGTGGTTATGGACAACGCTCACGATGCCATCTGCATTTTGAACAACTCCAACGCTTTCAATCGCATGAAGATCGACTATAAGTTTGAGCAGCTACCCAACAATTTGTGGCTGTGCAAAGTTTTCCTGCAGGATGAGCTGGTTGCGCAGGCGACGGGGTCAAAAAAGAGCTCAAAGCACTCAGCAGCTGAAGAAGCAGTGAGAAAACTTCGCTTGAACCAAGCACAACGAGAACAGCAGCAGCTGCAACAACAACCAGAGCACTTCAGAGGGAATAACCAGTTTGATTCTGGTGAAGGTTTTGGGCCACAAGGTAACAGAAAGAAGCATCTGAGTGAGCTGGTGATTTTGGAGAACTCTGATAATGCCATCTGCACTATTAACGATACCGCTCAGTTTAATAAAGTGTCTGCTGATTACAAGTTCTTAGTTCTGCCTGATCATCGCTGGAAGTGCGAAGTTTACCTTGAGGGACAGTACGTTGCTGCGGGAATCGGGCCAAAGAAAATGGTAAAGCACATTGCAGCAAGCGAAGCTTTAGCCACTTTGAGACAGACACAGGCTGTGGTCAAATCCAACTTTAGGAAGGAGGGATACAGTGACGCTATATCCCGTTCTCAGATTCAGGCTCGCTCAGGAGAGGAGGCCATGAAACAGGAGATCAAGGAAGACAACATCGGAAACCAGCTGCTCCGCAAGATGGGCTGGAAGGGCGGAGGCCTGGGCCGAGACGGGGAAGGCATAGCAGAACCAATCAGAGTGAAAGAGCAGTTCTCCAGGGAAGGTTTGGGTATGGACATGGATAAAACAGGAAATCAGCTGAGCAAGCGTGACATTGAGGACATCATTCGCAACTATGCCGGTTCAGACCGAACAGACGAACTTCGATTCTCCAACGAACTCACCAATGATGAACGGAAGCAGATTCACCAGATTTCTCAGAAATATGGCCTGCGCAGCAAGTCTCACGGACAGGGGCGGCAGCGCTTCCTCGTCGTCAGGCGAAAAGTACACAAAGACCAGCTGATTGGCCAGCTTTTACAGGACGGACAGGTGGGACGATATGAGCTTGTCAAACCTCAGGCCTTTCATTAAAATGCACAGAAAACTAAAGTGTAAATTTCCATCAAGTCCGACTTCAAAACATATCAAGTGTTACTCCCGTCTGTCCCAGTATGATAAATTTTACAGTACACAGGTCAGAGGTTATCCAGTATAACTTATGGGTTTAGCATTACTTTACAAGAACGTCTGCTTTGGCGGGCAATTGTAGGATGTGTAGTTTGTTTCTCCAACCTTTGTGCATTTGAGCTTGTAGTCGATGCTTTGTGGGATTTTGTCTTAAATCATTCACTTTAAAACAAAAACATCAGTTTTTGAATTTAGCAGAATGAGCTCCAACCACTCACCGTAGTGACGTTCAGCAATACTTTCATCATTTGCTTTTTCTTTCTTTCTCCGATTCAAATTTTTCTGCAAACTGCATCAGTGATCAGAAAATTATCTTCAAACAAATACTGTGGATTTTGTTAAATGTGAGATGTTTCTGTGAGTACAGTTGGCCTGTCTTGTTTGTTTTCACAACTATACTAAATAAAGTAAAACTGATAATCATCAATGGACTGAACTTCATTCAGGATGTTTTTGTCTGTATTGGGATACAAAGATGCACCAGACAAGTAATGTAATATTTATTTTATTTACAAGAAAATGTACAGCTTGTTACATGGGTTACCAGTACAAGGTTTTATAATTGAGACTTTTTGTGAAGGTGTAATCATTTTTTAAAATAATTGTAAAATAGCATTGATATTTTTTTTTCTTCCACACCACCTTTTAACCCATTGAGACAACAAACCATTTAAAAACGGCAAGAGAAATTCAACGTGCGTTGCGGATCTAAAAGGGTTAAATGGTAGCATTCAGAGACCGAGGTGCTGAATGTCTTGTTCTGTGTAAAGACATACAAGTTTGACAATTTTATAATCAAAAGGCATGACTGTACAAGAAAAAGATGTGTTAAAAATGACCCCCAAAAGGCATCTGTTGAATATTTAAGAGATGTTCATTCCAGGAAATTATTTTATTCTTCAAAGACTCAATTTACAGACTAAAAAGTTAAATTCATTGGAGAAAAAGAAACTCAACAGCTTTGTGTTGGCAGTATCACAGCAAACCACACAGGTAACCAGCAACCAGTACACTTCATATGAATGAAAGTAAGCTGTTCCAACTGAAAGGCAGGCTATAGTACTAAAACAAATGTTGGGGTGTAGTAAGTAACCCAGATATATAACAAGGTACACTAACTGAACAAACAACCGCTCTTGTCCAACAATAGAACTCTGCAGGAGTGAATGCCAAAAGCACTACAGCTCACAAACGTAGCAACAGAACAAATGAACGATTTTAAAAAGGTGTGTTATATCTGTTTTCTTGATCAGTGATTTTCTTGATTCCATGCTGGACACCATTCATACTCTCAACAATAACAAAGGTCAACAGTCACGCCAACTCTGTTCAACAATGGCGGAAACCCTCTTCTCATACTCCCGTTTGTTTTCCTGGTAGAGCTGGGCTGCCTGGCTGTTGGCTGGACTGTTTGGGTTTGGCTCATCCAGTAAAGACTTCAAAATATACAAAAGAAAGCATCTGTGGGTTAGGTTTCTAACGATTTACAACAAGGCACAGTACCTAAAGGTTAGACAGTGATGTACATTTATACACCGTATTTTCCATCGTACACATCGCATCGACCTATAAGTCACATCAGTCCAGGTATGTCTCAACAAGTGGAAAAATTCATAAATATGTCGCTTTGCCATATACGTCGCATATATAATGCATCACTGCTGACAACATGGAAATGTGGGCCGGTGTTATGCCAAAAATCGATGTGCTGCCAAATGTCGGGAGCGTGCAAAGGAAGACTTTAACAAGATTAACACACTTAAAAATAATAATTTGTTTGCTCAACTTTATAATAAAGGTGTGTCTCACTCTAACGTTTGCTTAATAAAAAGGACTTTTAATAGTCAAATCAGCTGTATTTCAAAAGTATTCAATGCCTCGGTGCTCCAGGAATGCGCAGAGGGAGGAAAAAAGGAAGGAGGAATGCTGCTCATTTCTTCGACATTTAACAAGAAAAGCACCTAAAACAATTATTTGTTTGCTCAAAATTATAGCAAAGGTGTGTCTCAGTTGAACTTTTACTTAATAAACACACTTTAACTATCAAATTAGCTGCATTTCGCAGGGGCGGTGCAGCTGGTTTGACGATTGCTCCAAGCAGCGAGCAGAACGAAGGTGGAAGACTGTGGCAAGCTGATTGTGTCATTAATAGCTGGTGAAGATTTTCAGTCATCCAGGACATGATAAATTAAAAAAAAAAAAAAGTTCAAGACAAAAACAATAAAGTATAAAGTAAAGTCTAAAAAAAGTTCAATCTGGTCCTCTGGACATTCAAAAAAACCAGAACAACAAAAAAAATTGTAGAACCGTTTCGTCTCTCATCCGAAAGTCTTCCTCAGTCGGAGGTGCTGTATTCAGCTCAGTCTCTTAAATAGCACCTTCTCAGAGTGGATCAACCAGTTTTGCTGCTGACAACCAAAACCAGCTGATCACATGCTCAAGAAGGACCATCAGCCTAACAATGGATCATTAGCACACTGATGGCTGTTTACTATTCCCAGAGGGCTGAGTGATACTAGCAATCACAGCATTGTAAGAGGGGGACAGTTGAACCCGGAGGCCTCCACCCCTGTTTAATGATGGACGGTTTCTTTTCACAAAGATGGCCTCCTTTACTCCTCTCTCAAACCATCGTTCCTCTCTGTCCAGGATGTGAACATCTTCATCCCTGAAAGAGTGACCGCTGGCCTGGAGATGAGTGTAGACCGCAGAGTCCTGGCCTGATGATGTTGATCTTCTGTCCTGGGCCATCCTTTTGGCCAGTGGCTGTTTAGTTTCCCCGATGTAAGACTGATCACCCTCCTGACACTGAACAGCATACACAACATTACTCTGTTTGTGCCGGGGGACTGGATCTTTGGGATGAACCAGTCTTTGCCGTAATGTATTTTGGGGTTTAAAAGCCACTGGAACGTTATGTTTAGAAAATAAACGTCTCAGTTTCTCTGATACTCCTGCAACATACGGAATGACCACTGGTCTGGGTTCCTCCTTTTCACCTGTTGGCTGACTGGAGTCCTGTTTGGGTTTCTTCTCTGCTTTCAGGAAGGCCCAGTTAGGATATCCACATTTCTCTAGAGCCAGTCTTGTGTGGGATTTCTCTTTCTGCCTGGTTCCTGAGTTAGTGGGGACGCTGTCTGCTCTGTGGTACAGAGTCCTGATGACTCCTAACTTGTGCTCCAGAGAGTGATTGGTGTCAAACTCCAGAGGACCAGACTTAACTTTTTTGAATTTTTCTACCTGGATTATTGAGCATGCATCACGATACGTTCTTAAATGTTTTCTGATGGCTTAAAATGTATTCATTTATGTGAATGAATCTTAAATTACCTGTATTGAAGTTAAAATTGAAGAGACATCATAGGTTGGACTCCAACGGTTCTGAAGTATATCTAAGCATATGCTGCCATCTGCATACACTGAAAAAGAGCATTTAGAACATGAAGCCTTTTGACAGGTCTCCCAAGATTAAAGAAAAACATCCTGTAAAAACATCAGTAATTCAAGGAGTTGCTACGTACCATTAGGATGAAACATTTTGGAGACAAATCGCACTGTTGGAGGTTTATTTGGATACTCTTCTGTGAATTCAATGGTAAGTTTGAAGGTTCCTGAAATTAGGAACATTTTACAAAATGAAAAGCAGTAGCTAAATCAATTCATTACAGCAATTAATCTAGAAAATTTGAGTATAAACAGAAACCAACTATTGTAGTCAAAACAGCATTTCACATGCAATGGTTGATAAATGTTCTTAAAAAAAAAAAAGTCCAAAGCTCCAAATCTTTAGTGATAATTATCAGTTATTCCTAGAATCATTTTATTGACAAGATAATTTAACTAGTTCTAAGCAACTTACCATCTTCAAATGGTGTTCCCTCCGGTCTACAAAAGAAGAAGAAGAAAAAAAAGGTTGTAAATTATCTTGTAAAAATTCTTCAACATACTAAAAAAAAAATCCCACTAACTATTTAAGTACTAGGCCATGAGGTCTGCTGTTCACTGGGTGTTCAAATTAAGATAATAAAACCTTAGTTGAACAACAACCCATAACATATTAACGGTACATCAGGTGTTTTTTTTTAATCAAACCAAAATGTAAACACCAAACACCACCCATGATTATTTAGACTATAACGCCACCAATAGCAAGAATAAATAAAAGTGATGATTTTCTATACGTCGTTATCATCGTCTCTTGTCATGGAGGAATTTTAGCACACTTGGCTTCAAATATTCAGCTGAATTTATTTAGATTTTCTTGAGCGACTTCATGGCATTTCAGTTAGGTGGATGTCTAGACTTTGACAGGTCCCCTGCAGCACCTTTATTTCATGTTGATTTTCTTTTAGATTTGTTGCTGTGCTTGGGATTCTTGCACTTTTGATTGACCCAATTTCATCAAGACTTAGCTGTCAAGATCATGGCATCATGTCTGACTCTACAAAAATGTTTGAAGATGATTAAATAACTGCAGTGCTCAAATCCTGTTACTGCAAAACACGCCTAAAGCTGCACTTGCACTGCAGTTTTCAGATATTCAAACACTTTCATTGTGAAATAATTATAAGAAAACTTTGGTTGTGATCTTAAATCATTCGTTTGTGTTTGTTCAGTGTTATAGAAAACTGATTTAGCATTCTCAGAACCAATGACAATATATCCTGATGCATGCTCAATGACAATATACAAAAATAGTGTCTTTTTGTCCACAGTTGTCCTTTTCCTCATCCTTCTCTCCCTCTTTTTATAGTTGGGATTTAAATCAAAGAACTTTCATTTATGTTTTTGATGCGTGTGTCCGATCTTTATAACAAGCACAATTCTGCAGCAGCAGTTTGGCATCTATTAAATTTTACATTGTGCAATGTTATATAATCCTGCTCGTTGTATGTCACATTTAACAGTGTGACATACAAGACTTTAGCCATTTTTAATCTCACAGTGTGAGCTGGCCTCTAATCATCACCCCCGGAGCACTGAGGGAAACATAGTGCTGTGCATTATGATTGTCCACTTTAATCTGATTTGTTCAAAGCATACTGTTCTAGCAGTTTTGAAGTTAATTAAGATAAAACTGCAAACCGAAGCTGCGCTGCCATGTCATTTTTAATGTTCTCTTCTGTGTTTAGTGAATTGTTATTACTTTTCTTTAAATTACTTATGTCTTTTGCACTATATATTACTGGTAACTACTGTACTATTGCGACAAAACAATTTTCCTCACAGGATCATTAAAAGTATCTGAAAAACAAAAACAAAACACGTTTCTGTTGGATACCTTTCCAAACAAGCCTTACTTTGTTTTTAACTTAAAGCAATATTATTGAGGCTTAACGAGTGAGTTTTGGGATTGTGTGATTTTTTTTTTGAACATTACATAAACATATTTAGGGAAGATGCTTGATGGGAAGGACACCCCTGAAAAGTGCACTTGGTTTTTCCACACATTACTCATCTCAGGTTGCATTAGTTAAGACTGTTAGGAACTGTGGAGGACATTTTTTATTATTTTAGTGCATAAAAAAGTACAATTTAAAAAAAAGGTACACCTATGTCAATTTTAGCTAATAAGACTTACCCAAAAATGACCGCATTCCATACCATGATATTGTTTTCTGATGGGGCCCCACTAACTCCAGCTGGAGGGTCTTCTTGCAGCCTGATAGATGCAAGAAAAACTCAAGTTATACAAAACATACACATTTCACACAAAGCACAACACATGCAAGCATTATGTTTCCTTAGTAGTCCAAAGGACAGCTAAATATTCATCAATCCCCCAAAAATATTTTGGCCCGTGTGGGAAATCTGTCTATTTTCCAATAGCAAAGAGTTCACCAAACGACTTAAGACTGGACAATACAACGGTAGTGCAGTTATGGGTTAAATATTAGCACTGATTGATTTTCAAGGCTGATTATGTGCCATTGTTAAAAAAAAAGTTACAAATGCGTTGTACTCAAGTGAAAATAAACAATGCCTCCATCTACTGGATTCATAGCAAACAAGGGCATTGTTGGATTATTAAAAGGTAATCCCCTAATTGTTAAAGAACAATGTTAAGTCAGGTTTTAATCATGTGACAAAAAAGTAGTTTTTTGAATCTGTGACCCTATCAGTCCACAGGAACATGTAGGCTGTGCCACGGCTGAATGTGCAGGTGTTCAGTGACCTCGTGGCAGATGGTTGCTGATCCTGATTCTTCAGTGATGATCTATCACAGCCCAGAGATAGGAGCTCACTTTATCACTGAGTATTCCGTCAAATCAGTCAAAATCTTTACAAGGGGGCATCTGGCCACAGACCTGAACTACATCTGTTACATCTCCAGAAATCCCATATAAATAAATCCATTAAGTCTCACAAAAAGTCATGTATATCATTGTTAACAACTAATAAAGTGATCAGTGATGCCAAGTTCCACAACCAAAACGTTAACTTCCGACTTGTTTGCCTTCGCCGGGTAGCAGCGACATGTTAAAATTACTCAATCTAATTTACAAATCAGAAACATATATAGTCACTAAAGCAAATGTCTCGATTACACTTAGGCCCATTTAGCTTTAATTAACTGATATAAACAAATGCTTTGTGGCTTGATGGTGGTCGGTATTGTCACTTAATCTAAGGCTAACAAATTAGCTTCGGGATGTTAGCAATAGCTAGCTCTGTTTTCTTTTAACTTACCGTTTAAAGTCTCTCATTAAACGTCGTCTTGCTGGAGTTGACATCTTTTTCACACAGATAACTAAATTCTTCTCAAACTCTTGAGCGCCTCAAACAAAAGTAAATATATTTTATGTTAAATGCCGTCAACTCCTAGCTAGCCAGCAAACGATCGGTACTAGTTTGTCTGATACTTGGCTGCCCCTGTGTCTGTGGACGCTACCATTTACAGCAGAAAAAAAGGGGAAAGTCGTCGACTTCCCGTAAAGATTTTTTGTGGTTATAAAGGAAAAACTCACAAACTTATAGTATGGCTGAAAGCATAATTATGATATATACATATTAATAAATTTAATTAATTAGTTTCAGGTCCATATGAATGTAGCTAGAATATTTGTTACATTGCTTAATGTACCCCATTCTTATACTTGAAATCTTCTACTTTAATTACGTCATATGTTTGCACACCCACATTTTGGTTATTTAGTGGTTATTCGGCTTGGATATCTAAGGCTTTGCTTCCACTGTCCTTATGTTTATTTGGGATGTTTACTTATTTTATTAATTTCTTCTCCACGTGGTCAAAACGTGCAACTGGTTTTACAAAAAAAGTGCTTTCAGGTTTCAATTTATTTCCGGTATACGCAGTACCACATGAACACCACAAGATGGTGCTAAAGCCCTAGAATTTCGACTTCTTGAAACGACAAAAGCAGTTAATATTTAATGATACAAAAGGGCATATTATATTTTAAAACATTAAGAACAACATATATTGGAACACACATACATAAACAAATTATACATAGTATCAAATGTGAGAAGATAATAATCAATGGAACCAACACCATGCTCAACAGTCCCATATGGTCTAGCGGTTAGGATTCCTGGTTTTCACCCAGGCGGCCCGGGTTCGACTCCCGGTATGGGAACATCACTTTTGCGTCTTTTTTAATATCTCAGCGAATTCTGTGATCTTTTCGAAACAAGACAAGACTGCATGTGATATGTGATCTCAATAACATAAGGCAGATGTATTCCAGGGAATATATAATAGACCCCGCCCGTCGAGGAGTTACTGTCATCTCAGAAGAGGCTGAACGTTCCCGGAAGATGCCCATTACCACTTGAGTCTCCCAGTGAAAACGCTTATCTGACTCAGGATAGTTCGTGCAAGCGAACCATGCGTACACAACCAACAATTCTCGTCTGCAACTTGCCAAAAATTGCTTGAGGCAGCCTAAACGTGCACCTGTGGGTGAGTGAGTAACAGCTTACGAAAAGTAACTGGCTTCGTTCAAACGTTTGGATATTTGCGTAAATATTTGTGTTGGGTAGTTTGCGCAAGTAACACAATTCCGATTAAACTCTTTAAAAAAAAAAACTTTTGGTTTACCACGATGGATACGGTTGCTCAGCTGTAAAAACCTGCCACTGACTCCTCGACATCTTACCGGGGTTAGACTACCAAACTTTGGGGCCGATTGTTATTTCCCAGGAAAATGTGACTGCCAGGAATTCCCCACGCGTCAGCAGCCTCTGTCGGAGAAAACTGCGACCTTGTGTCAGGAAGCACACGAAAAAAAAAAAAAAAAAAATCAGCAGCGGGAGGGTGATCTGACGGGTGTCTGTGCGATGATGTAGCTTTTTAGCACCCCAAACCGAGGACCATTATGAGTTGTTTCACCAAAAAGTGCCAGTAAAGCCACCGAACATGCTTCTCTCCACCAGGGTAAGTCCACTTTAAATGTTTCTCAGTGGTTGCTTGTTTTTGTTGGATTAGCCCTCCCCCCTTCTTTTAATGAGTAAGTGCAATTTCAAGACTTGTAGCAGCTTAGGGCGTAATAAAACAGAGCATGTTGCAACACTTTGTGTATCAGATGCATTTAAAGACTCAAAAGTTTGCCATCATTTAGAAATATGTCAGGAATCAAACCTTTGTGTCATCCATGACATGTGCCTTTACACTGATAATATGAGCGTGCAAAACAAAGTGTATATAGCAGTCACAAGAAGAACATCTCAGTTATTTTAAGACTTATGTGAAGAATGTCAAGTTGACCTCAGGTCAGCTGCTCCAATCTTTTTATCTGGAAAATGTGCAAGTTCTGTTCAGAGCAATATCCAAATTCGTACATCTTGTACTTTTCCCTACAAATGACTGTTTCATCTGATGGTGTAAACATAATCAATTTAAGGTCAAGCTAATTGTTGTAGATCTGTCCTAAAAAAAGAAAAAGAAAGAAGAAGCTGTAGTAGGATGACACACATGGTGCCACTCAGTCCATTAAGCGGCCTCTGGCTGAAAACATTGACTAGAAAATAGGAGCGAGCTAGCGTGAGAGAAGCTCATAGATTTATTCGGCTCTTGCTGAGGACCAGTATAAATGAGTGTTTGGTGATTTCTACATAATATAAGCCTGCCGTGACTTACGGGGTTGTAGTTTTAAGGCTGTTCGTCGACCCTGATCTGTGGGGAGTCTAAATGTTTGCCAGATGTTTACATTTTTGGGGCTGAGATGCTTGTATCCTGGGACGGACAAACACTGCCTCATTGGTCGGTCCTAAGTTGCTCGCTTCAGTTCAGAGCAGGCGGCAGTGACGCAGAGGGGAAGAGGAGCATTACTGTTCCTTAGTCGTTCCCACTAGACTTGAGAGAGGACCAGCCAGACCCACCAACCCTAAACAGACCCTCCCATTCGTCTGAAGTCCTCCCGTGGTGGGAACACTGACACAAGCTGGTGGATAATTGGAAACTTAAGTCCACGGAAAACAATTATCCAGAGCCAGACTTTCCAGATATACTCCTCTTGTTTGCTTCAAGCGTTTGTTTTTATGTTTAAGGAACATCTTGCTGGCTCCCACATATCAGCCTCCTTTTTTTTTTTTTTGCTTCGATATATTTAAATGAGCAAAATCAAATACAAGGCTTTTGTGTGTTGAGGCTGGAGCGGTTCCCGGTTCTTATCCTGTGACCGTCTTGTCATCGTCAGCAGTTCGAACAGCTGAGGGGTGTGATGGTGATCAAGGACGGCAGCAGCGGAGCTGTGGCTCTCGCCTATTTGTGGTGAAGGGCTCCTCAGACATTAGATCCCTCATCTTTCTGAAGATGTACTCGCCTCCCGTAATGGGCCTTGGTATTGATTTGACTTCACCAAAAGAAGAGCTGGGCTTTTATCCTACGTGGAATGCAGCACTCTAGTTTCACAAAAAAGCTTTCAAAGAAGCTCTGCGAAGACACAAGGGTTATTACGGCTTTTTTCTTTCTTTTGCAAGTTGGCACACGCAGTAATCTTTAAAAACAAGTCGGCGTTCCTGTTCATGCCATCAGTGAAATGAGGATTCAGAGTTAAATTAGAGTTTATCTGCACAAATTCATTCAGTTTAAGCTTAGTTTTTTTTTTCCCTATTCTCTGATATGTGACATCTGTGCTGCTGATCTCATGCTGCTGATTATTTCATGCTGCTGTATTCATTCGTACCCATCCGCTCACCACAAACTCGTGTTCGGGCTGCTGTTGTTACATCGTATTGTTTTGCATTATTAGCGTTTAGCGTATATCTTTTAGCATACCATTTGGCGTTCGTCTAGCATAGGGATGTCCAAACTCGATTACTAAAAGGAGCCAAAATGTAAAAACTTTGTCCGGGCCACTTTCAGCTTATGCTCGAGGCAGATACCCGATATCTTTTCTTGGTCTCACTTGATGTTCTGTTACTCTTTCCACATCAGAATCAATCATGATAGAATGACCCTGCTTCAAAGTTGTCCAGCTGCCAAGAGAAGTTTATACTAAATGATGCATTTATCAGGTTTTTTTTAAAAGAAAAAATTAGAATGATCATCTTGGGGTACCAGATTTGACCCGCAGCTCGGGTTGGACATATATGTGTATATCCTTCTTTTTACACTTCACATTTTTGCTATTGTTGGTTGTAACTGGGACCCTGTGTACATAATTTTGTTCCACCTCATGTACCACATGTGTCGAGAACGACGATAATAATAAATCTACTTGAGCTTGTACTCCTCAAGCTCAAATTGTGCAACGGCTTCCATCTTCTGATGCCACCTTCATCATTCGAAACAACCACAAGATGGCAATGTTCATGTGCGCTGACGGAACAGTCATATGAGATGGCTGAAACCTCAAATGATTTGCAAAAGAGGCAGGAACTGACTTGTGAAAAGAGAAATAAAACCCTTGAACTTCCCCCTTTTTTTATACGCTTAACAAAACACCCCCCTCCCCTCCCTCACTGGCCTCGTTTCTGTGGAGCTTTGCAGAGGGAAGTATTGTTTGCTGAAGTTCCTTAACTGGGCCCTGCTGTTTTAACTAACCAACCCTGGCGTTTTGCACCTGACTGCCTTGTCAGACATGTTTGATTGCCAGGCGGCAGCAGCAGTAAACCGCCGTGACTGGACGTGACGTCAGAGAGTAAGGAGAGACGAGGGAAATTCCACCTGCGATCTCATTCTGCTCTCATGCTGCACGGCTCTCGGGCATGTGACTCGGATGAGCCATCAGGCCTTCGCTGCTCCACTGTTCCTGAGTATCATCATGATGTAATCCGAGCTATTTTTAGCAAGCAACAGAAGAAAAAGATGACTTCAATTGGAGTTGTGATGTGAAAAAGTTTGGGTTGAGAAATCAGGGAAGCTTTCCCTTTTTTTTTTTTTTTTTTTTTTTTGTTGGTGCCAAAAAGGAGGGTGTGAATTCTTTAATTAGATGTAACAATTTAAAGCTCATATTCTTTAAAATCTTGAAAGTTTGGATCCAACAAATAGTAGGGGAACGTTAGAGCTTACAGGAGGTGTATTTATCTCCTGCTGCTAAAGGTCAAGCGTCTTCTCCGTGTCTCTGTGTGCACATAGTGTTAGCAAAATATCTTGTGAATTTTAATGACACTCTCAGAAAACAATTTCTCAATATACATCTACAACTGTTTGGACTTTTGGAATCAATCCAACTGAGCACAGCTACATAAAAAAAAATGTCTATAGCTCAACCGGTTTTACAGATATTTAGCTAAAATTCAGTGTGGTAGTAGCTGAGAGTCAACCTCAACATGTATTTTTTAACACTAACTGGTTGTGCGAGGTCTTCTTTTCAAACTTTGCCAGTAATTGTGGGACACCTACAACCGACTAACTATCGGAGCCACTCCAATTCAAGGTGGCCGCCACCGCTAAGCAACATTAACCAACACAGTAATGACTC